AGCAGCCGTGCACAAGCCATGCTTCTAATCCAGGAGGCTCATATACGGCCACCCTGTGGCATCCCTGTTGCCCCTCCGCTGCTTGTGGCCCAAGTGCAATGCCTGCCACATGCCAGCCGTGCCTCCTGCCCCGGCACAGCACCCTCACCCCTCCCTGTCATACCACAGTCCCCCTCTAGACCCATGCTGCTGTCCTTGCTCCCAGGACACATGTGAGCCAGGGAGCTGTGCCCCACGCAGCAGCCCTGCCTACATGCCCACCTGCCTCCCCAGCTGCCACCTCCCCATAGCAGGGTGCTGCCCTTGTGCCCACGCTGCAGCATCGTGAGTGTGGGCTGTGCCCCCAGCAGCCACTTACCTACACAGCGTCCGTTCTCGTGCTGGGAGAATCCCTGCCCACACTGCATTTGGGGAGAAGCAGAGACCGCTGGGGTGGGGAGGAATCAGCCCTGGGCAGCCACGGAGCCAGCAGAACCCAGCCCCTCGTTCCTGCCCCCAAGGCCCCCCACCCTGCACCCACACATGGCTCACACCTCCAGGCGGGCAGGCACGAGTGGCTTCTTTACATCCAGGGGGTAGGGGACTTCTAAGACAGAGTTGGTCTCACTGCTGGCCACAGGTCGTACCACTACACGGCCATCTGGCCAGGTCACCTCCAGGCTGCTGGCTTTGTAGTGCCCTGTAGGCGGGCAGCCCATCAGAGGGAGGGGTCTCCAGGGCAGGCAGGGGCTGAAAGGAGGCCAGGGGGGTGGTAGGAATGGAGGGGCAAAGCCTTCACTTGCTCCCTGAGCCAGACCCCAGGTGCCTGTGCCATGCACAGGGATGTAGCCTGAGGGGTGCACATGGAGATGACAGAGCTCGTCAATAGGCAAGGCCACCCTTGCAGGCTTGGCTGCCAGCTGTGCTGAGCCAGGGGAGGGTTAATGGGCAGGGAAGGCCCCGGTGCCTGGGCAAAGCAGCAGGCTGGGGGTGGCACATGGGGCAGCTGCCCCTTGCAGCAGGGCTGCAGTGGCTGGGGGCGCTAGAGCCCGCCGTGCCCAGGGCACTAGGAACGGATGACTACCGTGCTGCAGGGCACCGGGGCAGCAGAGATGACCGCTGCCCGGAGCGGCGCTGGGGACGGTTAGGGGTGGAAGCAGCCCCTCGCCCCCCGGCTCACCCAGCCCGAAGTGCGCCACAGGTTCCATTTCGCAGAGGTACCCCGACCCGCCGTCGATGATGCGCAGGTGGGCCCCGCTGCGCCGCGTGAACAGCACCACTTTGGCCCCCCGCGCAAACGCCCCGAAGCGGGTGCGGGGGATGACGCGCAGCCAGTTGTTGTCGGTGCCCTGTGAGGGAGGAGGAAGAGGGCGAGCTGAGCAGAGAGAGGTGGAAGGGAAGGGGACAACGCAAGGTACCGCTCCACTCACCTGGGTGCCCTTAAAGATGGAGATCGGCTGTGCCATGGACTCGCCATGGGACAGGATGAGGTCCAGCATCCCATCGCCATCAAAATCTGTCACTGCACCCCCTGCAAGGACAGGATCATGTCGTGCCTGGGGCCTGGCCCCTTTTCTCCCAGCACTACACCCTGCTGCTGGTGTGGGCTCCCACAGGTGGTAATAAAACTCCCAGCTATGCAGGTGCAACACAGAAGATGGTGATCCCAGTGCAGGAGTAAAGGTCCCTGTATGGGTGGCACTCTGCAAGAGTGTAGGTCAGCTCCTGGGACAGGGAGTACCTGGGAAGCTATGGGACACAGGTGATTGCCTGGCTCCCTCCCAAATGCAGAGTTTGGTTTTGAACAGTGGGCACCCAGGAAAGAGCCACCCAAGAGTGGAGCCCTGGGAAACAACTGGAGATGGCACCATTAATCTGAGCATGCGTAGAGGCTGCTCCTGGATACCGGAGGGGAGCGGGCAGGTGACTCAGGCAGGCATGCATCATCCCCAGGCATAGAGGGTGCCAAGCAGTGTTGTGGCATAGCCCTGGCATGGGCCCCCACTTCCAAGGCCAGGGGGACCCACCCGTGCCCCGTCCCTCAGGCTCCAGTGCATCCCCTGGATTCAGCTCTTCCACGATGGGGTCCGAGTGTTCCCTGCGGATGAGCCTGCCGAGCAAAGACAGCGTGTTAGTGCCAGCCCCTGAAGTCCCCAGCACCTTCCCGGGAAGTGCCTGTCCCCTCCTGCAGCACCACAGAAGAGAGGTGACACCCCCGGTGGCTCTGCAGAGTGGATGGGGGATGGGACTGCCCCCTGCCCGTGAGCACCTCATGTCCCTGCTCCATGCAGGGGTGACAGGGATGTCGTGAATGTCTGGCTCTCATGTGTTTGAACAGTGGAGCAGCAATGCCATCTCCAAACACTGCTACACCCCTTTGGGAGAGGAGACTACCCCAGAAGGGCTCCCTCCCACGCCACTGCCCTCCACCCACCCGTGGGTGCCAGCACCAGGTGGACAGCCATCCTCCTCTGCCAGGCGAGGTGGTGCCACACAGGGGTAATGAGGAATTGACCCCCACAATTAACAGGAGCCACGATCGAGCTTCCACACGTCTGCTCCTCAGCGGTGCCAGGGACCCCGGGGGGCTGCTGCAGGCACGATTGCAGCGGCTGGTAATCACACCGGGAAGGGCTCAGGCACGGCACCTTTTATTAGTCGAGCCAGAGCAGTGGCACTGCTGGAGAGGAGCCCCGTGAGCCTGGCCGTGCTGCGAGGACTGCTCAGCCCCC